TGGAGTCTTGATGACTCTTTTGGTTCTAGTATGAGAAAAAGGACCCACAATGATTGCTTCCAAGATTAGATAGCCATTGTCCTCTGAACCGAGAACATAGACTTCAAAGTGATGCGTCCAGACTTCGTAATCTTGGGTATACAAGATCGGGATTCTCGTAGTAGATCCGATGATGTTGGATATGTTGATGGGGTTGGTTTGTGAATCATCGAGAGACATGACGACCTGTTTAGAATATCTGTCAAGAATCAGACTTGTGAAGATTGAATAGGGTAATATCGAGATCTATAAGCAACGTCAATGAAGGAATGATGGCTCAACAGATTCAATAAAAGCGGAAACCCTAAGAAAATTCTTCAAAAAGAAGAGATGCGTATGATTTACACAACCTCTTGTTTTGATATCAATTGATGAGTTGAAAACTATTTTAAGATCGATTAGATTCTTAACAAATAAATCAGAAAGTAAATCAAAGCATAAACACACAACGAATCAAACAGATGTTGAATGATTAAAACAACAACACCTTAGAAGAGCTCGACGAAGAACTTCTACTGTAGAGGTGTGCTAGGGTTACAGTACTATCAAAGGAATAATAATCAAGAAGCGTATCTAAGATGATGCATGCATGCACCATAAATACTAAACCCTAATATCAAATACACGGATGGACAGGCCCAAACTGTGAAAACATTAGATTAAACTAATAAGCCCAATGACGCAACACCTAGACTCAACAATGAGGAATAGTTCAAGCCTATGTAGTCAAAATTTATTTGATCTTTCTGCCGATAATGGGAGAAGTCGATATCTTTGGGCCCTTGATGATTTGGTGTTGACAATTGAATGATTGGCTGAGTTAAGACTGAGTTGGTTAGATCAACAGCTAGTCTGATAAGGTCATCCCAAATCTCTATCGAGAAACATAATCTTGAACACTGCTATTGAATCATTATCCATGACTCAAGTTGATATAGATCTTATGAAGACCAAAGGAATTTAAAATCACTAGTCTAAGAGATGTGTATTTCAAAGTTATGATAAGTACACAATTGCTATCTATTGTTAGTAAGTATTGGACTGGATTATTCATCGTGTCTTGTGCAAGTAGGAGCTGTTGGAAGATGGTACCCATAGCCACAACAAGTTGGTAATATTACTATTAATAGCAGTGTCCTTTTGGGTTACACGCAAGAACAAAATGAGTAAAACTGGAGAAATATTAATTATAGGGTTTTAGTTTGTTAATTAATTAATTGTTTAATTAATTAAATGAAACGTGGAAAATCTGGAATGTTCTAGATAAATGATTTGAATATCAGATCATTATCAAACATAGCATAATTATTTAGAGACCAGATAATTATCTGTTAGGGTTTGAATCCTCCCCTATAAATAGAGAGGCCTAAACTGGATTTGAGTGCTAGAGAAATCAGTCAAAACCCTCATAAATTCGGTGGTTCCTTCCAGATATCGAAAGACTTAAAACCCTCATCAGCGCACCGTAGTAAAAGGTTCCCCGCGCCATGTAGCAGGCTTCGAGTTTCAGATCTGTCTGATTCTCATTCAGGTTCTAGTTTGGGTGATTTCCAACATTGCTATTTGTTTCTTATGTGCGATCATGAAAGAGGGATTCTCTGTTGGATCCTCCAAAGTCTGATCAACTGGCAAAGACTAAGAAATTAAAGACCACAAAAGTATGTCTTTTTGTTTTATTAGGTTCCTAGACATGTTTTGAACATGGATCCTTTGTGGCCAAAAGACCCTTATAAGCCCAACATTACTTCCTCTGTAAAAAATAATAACTGGGCATGTTTACTTGGTTATGTCACAGGTTCTTTTCCTTTCAATTACATAGGGATTCTGGTTGATGCAAAAACATGTCACTTAAAAAAATTGGAAACCCATTCTTAGTAGATTCCAAAGAAAGTTGTCGTTATGAAAATCGAAAACCTTATCTTTTGGTGGGCATCTAACCCTCATCAAAACGGTACTTGGTAGTCTCCTTACTTACTATTTCTCTCTTTTCAAAGCCCTAACTTGTATCATCGATTTTCTTGAAAAAAGTAGAAGACGCTTTTTATGGGGTGGATTCGAGAATGTATCAAAAATTAATTGGGTATCTTGGCTAAAGGTGCTTGCACCTAAATATGATGGTGGTTTAGGCATAGGGTCACTCAAATAAGAGAATACAATGAGAGTACTAAAACGGTACTTGGTAGTCTCCTTACTTACTATTTCTCTCTTTTCAAAATTGTGATATTTTTCACAAATTGGATAAAAAATCAGTGGCACATATAGCAAATTAATTTGTGATTGGTGATTTATGCAACATTGCAAAAGCTGCAAGGCATCTCGACTCAATGCACATTAACTTTCATGATGTATTTCCACATATTATAGGTACCAATGATAAGACAATCTTTTGGAAATACACTTGGTTCGGTAACTCTAAACTACAAACTCGGTTCCCTTTTATATATTCCTTAGAGTCTTGAAAACATTGCAAACTCTCGAATCATGTCTCACAGGATGGATGCTCCTGGGGCTAGAAACAACCTATTATTACTGGACATGATTTCAAAACTAAATTTGCCCAGATCACAACCATCATGTGTGATCTATCTTAAAAAAATCTCCTAATGATCTTAGATGCAATCTTTCCCCTAATGGTGCTTATTCAGTTGATGTCATGCGCCGAAACCTTGATGCTAAACTGACCATTTTTTTTGCAAAAACTATGTAGCTTCGTTAAAAATGGCTCCTCTTACAAACTCATGGCTAGTAAGAACATAATTTCAGTTGTTACTTTGAAAAAAAGAGGTGTAAACATCTGGTCTTTATCCTGTGTTATGTGCGTACATTGAGGTAAAAAGGACGAAAATATGGATCATGCGTTAGTTTAATGTGAAGTGGTGACTAAAGCGAGAGAATGGAATTTCAATTGGTGTGGCATACATCAAACATACCCGACTAGTGTGGTTAATTTCTTAGATTTCATGGCATCATGGGGAAATTGCCCAAGGAAAAGAAAGTATTCATAACAATTGCTTATTCTCTTATGGAGCTAATGGAATGTGAGAAATGCCAAGGTTTCAACAATGTTTCTTCATTCCCTGAGAAGGAAGCTGCTGATTCTATGTCTTTATCTTTTGTTTGGTGTAAACATATATGATAAATATTATCTTGCAATTGGGGTCTGGAATTGTTCCCCTCTAAATTGCCTTTAACCTGCTTTTGTACTTTGTCGGCTCATGCTTAGTTCCTTGCTAGGCAGATAGTATTTGTTTAATTATATTCATTCTCCGTTTTCCAAAAAACTAACTATTTATCATTTGATAAAATTATAGGTGCACACAATCTGTTAGCATAAAAGCACAATATATTAGTTAGATTATGTCTCCAAGGAAATATATTTTATGTAAGTCACAAAAAATGATCATTATTTGTTTTCAAGAATAACCAGACCATCCTTGAAGATACTTATAACTACACTTCATCAACGAACTCACGATGTATACATTCCATTTGTATCCATTTTTATCATCAAAGCTAATCTTTCCAGAAGATTTCAAGGTGTTCTTATGGCAGTTGGAATGTGTCTTTGTTGTACATTCCACAATTATGTCCTTTATTCTTGTACCATGTAAATCCTTGAGCTATGGCACAACTGATTTGATTTCTCTTATCCGACATGTAACCTTCCGTCCTCATACATTTCTAAATCTTTAGAATAGAAACAATATGTGATACTACACATTAAACTTATCTTAGAACATTTTCGTTGTTGACTAGTGTTTTGCTAGAGCTAGAAGAGTGTTAAAGTTTTTCTATATTCATCTCTCCCATTGGCTAATTGTGTGTTCATGATTCCCTTGGATTTTTCTTCTTTGTTTTTCATAATACAATTATATAGAAAATAAATTCCTAAAACTCTTGTCCACAAGTTTATTCATACCTTGTTTGGATTAATTGTATCCACCTCATGATTCAATAAAAAAAGATTCAATCTTTACATGACCTGAGAAAACATCTATTTCCTTTTCGTGAGTAGCAAGGAGAAATCAACGGTTAATGTAATCAATTTTCATATGAGCTCAAAATTGGTAATTTAAATTTGGTTATTTTCGTAATAGCAGATCTCACCCTTTGTATGGTGATTTTAATGAGTATCTCTATATAAAATGGTATGAGATCCAAGATTCAAAGTAAAATCCATGTTATAATAACATATCCTTGCTAGATATTTATATGTAATATTTTTATTTTAACTAGAAAGGTTTCCCCCGCGTTGCGGGGGTTGGAAGGTAGCTTTTAGTTTTTCTGGAGTTTTTCCATTGCAAGTGTTTTTCCTCTTTCATAATTATATTGGAAACAATTCAACGCAAACTGATAAATTAAGAAACGGCATGTGCTATTTGTGTACATATCGATTAGGCTGTCATGTTCAGGCGACATATCGATGTGCATTTTTTCTTCACCAAGAGTGCACTTCATAATGAGAATTACTATCGTCGAATCCACTTGTGACGGGGATTTCGGCTAATTTGATGGACCTAATGGACAATAAACAAAACAAAAAAACTTAATGCACAGATATACAAAAATATATTGCTATTTTGGAGTTAACATTTTAAAACCAACATGTTTGTCCCTATGCTTTGTCAATGACAAAATCTATTCTTTGGAGCTGAAAAAGAAACCAACAGGAGTTTCATTATCGAAGGAAGCAAAACTATAAAATATTTTAAATTTTAATATAGAAAAAATAAGTGTATTCATAATTTGTTCAAACCTTTTGGCCCATTAGGAGAAGGTTTTAAGATATTTTGCAGTGTAAGAATCTTTCGTTCAGCCAGAAACTCAAAGACCTACCATGGATAATATGGTGATTTAACAATTTGTGTATGATATTAACTTTCTCACACTTTCTAATACTTACCTTGAGAAGCTTTCCTAATGTTGGAATCTTAATGAACTCTTATCTGTAATGTCTCTCATTAGGTTGTGTAACATTTGTAAACCTGTAAATTCAATAAATAAACACAAAACAAAATAATAAGGATTTTAATGATTAATAAGGATCACATAACCATCTGTATTTAAAAAAAACATTTTGTTTCGTATGTCTACACAACCAAGGCATGTTGATGGCTGATGCAAATTCCAAAAACAGGAACGTTTCCAATAATGCCCTTCACCATCTTAACGAATCTAATACGTACGTCTATTTTATATTCTTATGTGATTTAAAATAAATAGGGTGATTTGGTTTCAGAAAAAACAGTACAAAAATCAAGAGTTATATGAAGCAATCTAACCATTTGGAGGTGAAACGACTGCCCCGAAGCAACCCATCTAACATTGTTGCAGATCGGAGAGACAAAATGCTTGATGGAATTGGCACTGTAGCATGTAAAAAGGGTTTATTAAAAAAAGTAAAAAAAAATTAGTTAAAAGAGAAGTAGCCACATACCCATTTTCGCCAAATGCATACTCCATGGATTTGTTTAATTTCTTTAATAATGCAATTTCCACGGCCCTTGAAGCCTATCTTCATCAAGAAATCATTCAAATTTCTTTCTCACATTTTTCAATTTTCTTGCTCATCCACCTAACCAATTCAAGGGCAACATGGGTTATCAAGTTTACCATATTTTTAGATTATGAAAATTTGTCAAAACTCACTGAATATCAAATAAATTCCTTTTTTCTACATTTAAACTTAGGACCAAATACTATTAATTGTACCATTTTATCCTTATGATAAAAATGGATTTATGCATCAAACAAACTCTGCAATCAAAATAACCAATAAATTCTCAATTCAAAACTTCAAAAAACTATGCAAAACAATCAACAAAAACAAACAACATCAACCTTGAAATCATACCCTGCATCGATCTTTTAACCTCTGATTAACCCTTTGAAGTGAACGGCCAGTCAACCAAGAAATTGTACACACATCTGCATTAGGATGTACAGAGTTGCATTTAAACAAACAACATCCACCTTTAAACATAACATTAATTTACATATGGAAAGTATTATGTTTAACCTTAGAAACAAATAAATTTAGCCATAGACTTGTGCTTTAAGGCAACCCTAACAGAATAATCTTTAAAAGTTACAAAAAAAACTCAAAAAAGCAAGTGACAAATTTCTTATGATATTCATGTTGGAAACACAATAATTATCCACAGATGCAATTAGCCAAATTTAAAAAAACCTACCAAAATACCAAATTCATTTGAAAAGTTGAGTTACCTTCTGTATGAGGATCAACAATGAATTTTCTCATGCAGTCAATGAAGTTGGTCCCATTAAAATGATCCCCACCAATGGCTACACATGTGGAATGTCCTAGCCCAACAACAGTAGTTTGGTAAACCTATAACAAAATGAACAAAAAAATCATTCAAAAAGTTGCATAGAATCAGAATGTTTTCCAAATTCATAATAAATGAATTAAACTCAACCCAATCCAATAAAGTGATATGAAATCCGTTTGTGAAATGATAAAGTACATCTAAAAGGACGAGAAGAAAAACAGGAAAAGTGAGTCAAGCATTTCATCAAATAGCTGGTGGCCACAACTTTATCCCCAATTGTAAACATCTTAGTTTTATGTGCATATCTCTACCATTCACGAATCTGAAACCATAAGTTTGCTCAATCTCTACCTCATATCCTTCATACCTTTCCTCTTCTTCTGTCGCTGATTCTTCTGCTCCATTGTCCGACGATGCCTACATACACACAAAAGAAAAAAATCTCCAAAATTCATAAGCTACGAATTGCTGTATAGAAAACACAACAAAGTACAAAGCCAGAAAAAAAAAATTAGGAGATACTTACAATCGATTCTATATGAAAACAGATATTTGTAATCAACAACCAATCGATTGGTCCTACTCAAGTCCAAAACCAAAACCGGAAAGGAAATCAGGGGCGAGATAGTTAGAATCAAATAGAAGTGTAACCTTCTTCAAATCCGAAATTAGGAGTGAGATACCTGGAAGTCATAAATCGATGTTGAAACCCTTTCATTCTGAAATAAGACATCGATCCATAAGAGCCCTCTCGACATACCAGGAAAACGCACCGCAAAACTCACAAACCCAGCTACAGTCACCACAGTTGAGGTACTGGGGAAGGACAGAGAGGCTATCAAGACGTCGACACTTCCGGCGGCCACCAATAGGGACAACAACCGACGACGAAGCGGCGTCGTCAGCAGTCCGCTTCCCCGGAACAGCCATGACATAATAAAACGACAACACTGCGGGAAGAAAGCAAGCAAAATTACGACAATAGAGGAAAGAAAAGAAGAATAACAGAGGAATATTACCTAAGAGAGAAATAGGGAGTGAAGCGGAGAAACCGAACCGGATGACGAACAAAAGGGAAAGACAAAGAAAAAGAAAGAATGATCTGCAATTAAAAAGCAAAACAACAGGAAGAAGACACGTGGAATAGAGTAATATTTGACACGAAATAGGAACCCGATTATAAAAACACTATATATACTTATCTTACCGATGGGAAGGAACAGAAAGAAGATAACGAATGCGGCATAGAATCACAAAGCAAAGTGGCAAATAAATGAAAATATAGGGACTAAGATGGTAACCACAGGGACCAAAATAGAGAAACACGATCGTTTACTGTTGAAATTTTTCACAATCTTAATATATATATAATAATGTTTCATAAGTACACAACCAACATAACATTTTTCTCGAAAGAAACATGATCTTGGCCTGATTCACAAAACCATCCGTAAAAACACAATCACAGCCTAAATTGTGCCAATTGCTGAACGTTGATAGGATAACAGTCGGTGGAGGATCCAGAGTATGCCCTCTGAGCAAGAACAGCATTCGCAGCTTGAGTTGGATGGAAAGCATCCCAAAACACGTATTGATCACGGTTGAAGCATGGTGTTTGTAATGGGAGGCATGTCATTTGTCCTTGGTTCCTCCCTACCCCACAACATGCTGTATCTCTCACTGTAAACCCTGCGATATACAAAAATATTTCAAGTGCAAATTCATAATCCCACTCATTCACCACTAGAACAACTTCTCAGGATGAGGTTAAAATTAAGTTGTGTTGTCGATTTTTTGATTACCGTATCTTGCAGGATTATTCAAGATGTCACCAAAAACACCATATGTGTTTCCATAGACAAATATGGCTCCAGGGTGCGATCCGTCATTAAACCGATCAATTAGTTTTTTGAGTCCCTCGTTAAAGGGTCCGAGCATCTGGTTCACCGAATCAACGCATCTCCCAGCAGGTGCTTGACCAGTGGCTAACTGATTTGGAATGCACCCAAGTGGCCCAATCCCTGGTATAAAGAATTTCCGTAGTCCTAAACTGTATAGTGCCTATATATATTGAAAACACTCATAAATATTAAAAAATATAGCAGGTAAAGAAAACACTTAAAAGACATATATATATATATATATATATATATATATATATATATATATATATATATATATATATATATATTATACGTGAATTTGGAGGGCATAGCGGTTGAGAAGGGTGTTGGCAAATGCTTCAGGAGTGTAAGTGCGACGTGAAGCATAAATGTTTGGCATGAGGTAATTGTTAATGTAGTCGTTGCTGCCAAATACCATGACTACTATGGAATTTGAGAGTAACTGTGTGAGGTTCCCTGGGCTCATCATGCTCCTTAATTGGCCTAATGTCGTCTCAAAGTTCACAACTTGTTGGCTCAGGGTGTAACGGTCTCCCTGCAATAAAAGCATGCATGAAATTAGTCAATTAATGCCGCATCCAGATATATCCTTCAACCGAAATACTTTTGGACTTTTTAATTAGTTCAATTTTTTGCTTTTATGCACTCCAACATAATCATGGCGCTCCACTATGTTTCTATTTCATGGAGTTTTTAGTTGTTCATTTAATATTTCATAAATTTCTGACGTTAAACATGGGGTTGGTTTGACTTCCAAAGTCAAAAAGGTAGGAAGTTACATAGTGTGAGCCACTTTCATCTAGGATGCCACCAGCAGCTGAAGCATAATTGACACCCCCTAGGATCCTATTTCCGGCCGTTGTGGGGTCTAAAAATGGAGGTGGAGCGGGTATTCCCAACCAATCTCCTGTACACAAAAATCATTAATCCTCCCACGGTTAACTTATAAATATACAACTGATGAATAAAAATGTTAATTTATGAATGTGAAAGAGTTAATTGCGTACCAAGAATGTCGCTAAATGTTCTTGCATTACAAAATCTACCAGAAGGACCGCGATAGTAATCGATACCATAAGGATAATAATTAGCTTTTGCCATGCTCCTGAGGAAGTTGTTATTCCCATTATCCACCAATGAATCTCCCATAACCCATATCGCTGGAGCCTGCGCTACTCCCTTGACACCTTTCCACCAACATGCCACCACCACTACCGCCGTGAACCACCATATGCGTCTGTCCATTGCCAATAAAGTTTAAACACAGTTCTCCGATGTAAAGATGAAGGAGCTAGGAATTAACTTGAATGACTATATATACAAAATTTTCAATCATAGGATATATATGATGAAGATTATCTGTTTGAAACGGTGAAAAAAAGGGTCACAATTCTCTAGCTAATGTCTAAAAATAGTCCTTATTTGGAGGCTTTTGTGCACTAAAACTCTTAGCTTTTTGACTTCTTTTTTTGGATCATAGTTTGGCTATGTCATGACGTTTATGATAGCATACTCGAGCAAAACTCATGTGACAATTTCTATGGGCGGTATTCACCGGGTCTCACATGGGATGTATGTAAGAAAAACAAAAACAATAATAAAATGGTAAGATTCTTTTAAGAAATTTAAACTTGGACAGATATAGGTTGTAATTATTAGTAGGTGTTAAATAAGGAAAAAAAGTTACTCCGAATGAATTTTGGTTTCGATAAAGATATCGACCTAGATCGACCTTGTTTATATCCGTCTTGATATATCTACTTGATAATTTTATCCTTCCATTTAAAAAATAAAATTTTGGACTTTTTGCTCTTGAATTAATATTGGAGAGATGGATTATAAAATTCCATTTAATACGGATGAGATAGAAAGATTATATAACATGTTAGTTATTAGTTATTCTTAAAAAGAAAACGTATTCACTTACTTAAAAAAAAATAGTTCAATTATTTTCGTAAAAGGAAAAGTCTTGTATTAAATCTTGTGGTTGTTGAATTGAAGAAAAAAAAAAGCGACGTTGGTCATTTTTTTCTTTTCAATTAAACCATTCAATTCGGTAGTCTGTGGTATCTTAGATGTTTTTGACGCATAATTTGTCATTTTAAGTTTGCCATAAAATTTGTCAATTTTGTATTATGTGTCATTTTATACTTATATTAAATTTTGTCCAACAAAATAGTGGAACTTATCCGTATCAAATATTCGAAGCAATGTATATCTCAAATCGCAATAATATGTTGCCCAACAAAGATACTTAAATTATAATAATGTTAAAAAAAAAAAAAAAAAAAAACTTGATGATAAGTAAACATTCATCCTACTCCTACTTCATATCATCACTTGATGAATCCAAAACACATAATCCTTCAACTTCTATTTGTGTCAACGAACAATAAAGTGTCTGAGAATATTAGTTGTATATGTTTTGATAATTTGATTTAAATCCATATCCAACATTTTCAAGTGACGATATACAACTACTGGAGTATGGTGAATGTTTATTTATCGTCAAACATTTTTTTTAAACATTATTGTGATTTGAAAATTTTTGTTGGCCAACATTTTATTATGATTTGAAATATACATTCGTTATTTGTATGTATTCGTTTGAATACTTTTCAAGCGGTGATATGAAAGTGAAATGTGATTAATATTTATAATTTATCTTCAAAAACATATAAACTACCACATAATACAAAAGTCGAATGATTTAATTGATTTTTTTTTTGTTTCATGTGTTTACGTGGAAAAAATGATAGAAATTGATTTTTCTTAATAAATTCAGTGAGCAGATATAATGCAACACTTTTTTAAGAAATAAAACGTAAATAGTTTTGTTTCCTTTGCAAGACTTTTTTAAGAAATAAAACGTAAATAGTTTTGTTTCCTTTTTTAAGGTAAGTTAACATATTTTATTTTTTAAAAATAACTAAGCATATCTATTTTTTCTCTCTCTTCCGTGTTTAAAAAATATTTTATATTTCTAATATTTGATCGGAGGCAAAAAAAAAGTCCAAACATTTATTTTTAAGTAGAATAATAAAATTATCAAAACCTCTAAAAATATCATTTTCTATTTTTAGAAAACACCTTTCGGTTATGACAGTTCATCCCTAGCTATAGTCTTGTTTTTTTCTCCTCATTAATCATGTGTTACTTGTATGCTTTGTTAGAGGAAGTAATTTGTATATAACAGTTAAAGTTAATCATGTGTTTCTTGTATGTTTTGTTAAAGGAAGTAATTTGTATATAATAGTTTTTTTCTATGTTACATTTTATAAAGTTGTATAATATATTATTTTAAATCATAAATGATTGTGTATATAGAAAACATTGTTGTATAAGAATCAACCAATTTTAGTAACGTGGGGTATGAGTCCATCCTCTATCCATTTTATAAAATGTTTATTGAATAATATATATATATATATATATATATATATATATATATATATATATATATACACACACGCGCAAAAGTTCAACAAGAAACCATTTTAAACCATAAAACCATTTTTTAAGTTTAGATCTTATTATTTATCGAAAACAATTCTAAAAATATAAAAATTCATAACTTTCTATCTTCTTTCCATTGATATCAAACTTGATAATTTTTTTATTACTTTTTTTATCTGTTCAGATTCAGATTGTGAATCTACACTATAAATCATTAATTTTATATAAATTCAGTATATGAATCTGCATAAATTCACAGTGTGAATCTGCACAGATTCACAGTGTGAATCTGCACAGATTTCACAGGGTGAATCTAAACAAATTCACAGTGTAAATCTAAACAAAACAATTTTTTTATTGAATTTGATATCAATGAATGGACGATAAAAAGTTATAAATATCTATATTTTTAGTTTTTTCTTGGATGAATTTTTTTCTCTAAAAGTTGAGAAAAGATTGATTCATTGGTTCTAAGGTTTAAAATGGTTCATTGTTGAACCCGATATATATATATATATATATATATATATATATATATATATATATATATATATATATATATTTCAATGTTGTAAATGGCGGAATAGGCGTCGACTAGACGCTAGGTGGACATCAACTCTCTATTATTTTTACTAGGCGGTCAAACTAGGTAGAGTCGGTCAACGACAGTCAACTTCGGCCTAAGCGGGGCTAGGCGGCCGAAATTTCAAACTTTTTTAAGTTTACAATTAAAAATATTACATTAAAATTTTAAAATTGAAAATTTTAAAAATTTAAAATTTTAAAGTATTACAACAAAATTTTCAAATTTTTAAAATTCAAAATGCGAAATTTCAATATTTCAAATAATTATTGCATAAAAGATATTAAATATTGAATAAATTATATATGTATCATAACAAAATAAGTAAAAAACCATAAAAATTGTGATATTTAATAATTTTTTTAGGTTATAGGTAATATTTATTTTAAAAATAAATAAATTATAATACAATCAAGGGTCCCAGTCTAGGCTTCGATTAATCCTCGCCTAGACCAATTAATCGCTTGACCGCAGTCAATACTTGACGATTTTACAACCTTGAATATATATATATATATATACACACACACCAAGCGAACACCCGCGCGTTGAAAAAAAATACAAGAATATATTCGAAATTTTTACAAATAGATGTTTTTTAAATATATATTAATGATGTTGTTGTTAGCTATTATATAATAATTTTATAATAAGGTTCTATAAACATTGTTTGTTTTGAATTATATGATAATGTAGACATTTTTTAGAATTCTATAAACCCAATTGTCCTAATTTTTATTTTTTATTTTTTGAACGACAAATCTAATCTACTCTCAATTGTTTTAATAACATCGACCTGCGAGTTACCTATGAATAAAATTAAATATAATATATGGTTTAATGATATTTATAGTTGTTGTTATGATTAATTAATTTTAAAAAGTTTATTTGCTTAAGATTTTAATTTCTTTCATTGTAATTATTTAAAATATCAAATATTGTTTTTTTTTTGTTTTTAGATGTAACAATATAATTTTTGTATATAATGTTACTTTTAACTACTGTTGTTGTAAGTTATTTAAAATAACGTATTTAAGAACTCTTAACTTTTTAATTTGGTTTTAGAAATTTAACTTTTTTAAAATTTATTTGATGATTATTGTTAGTTTCTTTGATTGTAATTATTTAAAACAACAAACATTGTTTTTGTTTTTAATAATAACATTATAATTTTTTTCTATAATATTACTTTTAAGTAATCTTATTGTAAGTTATTGTTAATCTACTTATTTGAAAATTCTTAATGATTATAAAAAATAGTTTCATGGTTTTTTTTTTGTGAATTTAGGATTACAATTTAGGTTTAACACTATAATTTCTAATTTTTAACTATTTATAAAATAGTTCAAGTTTAACTGAAACTTTGATTTAAGTTAACTGTTTAACATTATATTGAAATTAATAATTTAACTGTTTTGCATAAAATCATAAATTATACAAAAGTTGTGACTTGAAAATGACAATTGCGCACATCCAACAACATATATCTAAACTAATACGTTAACTATAATATGATAAAAAGTTAAAGTCGTAATTTTACAAAATAGAAGTAAAATATG